TCTCGCTCCGTTTTCTGAAGCTCGGGCGGCTCCCGAAATGCCTCCTCCCGCTCACACTCCTGAGTGGGCACTCCGGCTTCCTTTCTCTTTTGCCCTTCTGCTATCATTTGGTTGTCCTCTCAGGTTTGAGCAACTTAAATCGGTTCAGGGACTTAGATGCCTGGTTGCTTTATGGTTCTTTTAATGCAGATATTGTAAATACTTTTTCTAAATGCCACATTTAGGCCAGGCGCGGTGGCTTACACCTGTAGTCCCAACACTTTCGGAGGTCGAGGCGCGAGGATTGCTTGAGGCGAGTAGTTCAACAACAGCCTGGGCAACATAGTGAGACCCTTGTCTCTACATACAAAAGTAAATAAGTAAAAATAAATGCTGTTTTTGAATTTTCTCCAGAATCTACATAACACGCCTGTGACCCTTTCCTGGACACAATGCAGACATAGTTGCTCGCTTCCCCACCTGTACCACCATACAATCTAGTACAGCCCTTATGTAATTTATTGACCTACGTTTGTCTTCCCTACTAGACCTAATTCCTTATGTGGTCAAGGACGGTTTTCTTTTATCCACACTCAACTAGTGATTGTTGAGTGAATAAATGAACTTCCCCTCACCTGCCTGTCTTCGCTAATAGCAGCGTGTCTTCTCTCTTAAGTCGGTTACTTCAGCCAGTGTTCAAGATCCCATCCCCTCGCTAATCTATTAATAGATCCCATGGGAAAAATGAAATAAATTTTTAAACTCCCACCCCCTCAGTTATTCCCTGTGTGTATGTGTGAGCGTGAGTGTGTATTTATTTATTTTTATTTCTCTTGCCCCCTTCAGCTAAAATATAAAAATATCCAAAATTCTGGCCGGGCGCGGTGGCTCACGCCTGTAATCCCAGCACTTTGGAAGGCCAACGCGGGCGGATTACGAGGTCAGGAGATCGAGACCATCCTGACTAACACGGTGAAACCCCGTCTCTACTAAAAATACAAAAAATTAGCCGGGCGAGGTGGCGGGCGCCTGTAGTCCCAGCTACTCGGGAGGCTGAGGCAGGAGAATGGCGTAAACCGGGAAGGTGGAGCTTGCAGTGAGCCGAGATGACGCCACTGCACTCCAGCCTGGGTGACAGAGCCAGACTCGATCTCAAAAAAAAAAAAAAAAAAAAATCCAAAATTCTCCCATGTCCTTGCCCTTTCCTTTACAGCCAAGCTCCCCAAAAGAGTAGTCTACAAATCCTGCCCATTTGCACCTTCCCATCCATTGTTCTCTGCAATGTAGCTCACAGCCTGTGACTGCAATGAAATTGCTCTTACTAATGCCATTAATGAACCAATTGCCAAATTGGACTCTTCCTATTCTTGATACCACTTGTTCTTTCTGTTGTACTTTAATCTGTTGACGTCTTTTCCTAGAGAAAGTCTTGCCTTCCTCCTACTCTTTGGTCACTTCTCAGTCTTCTTTTCAGATTCTTCCAGCGTTGTCCACCATTTAAATGTTGATGTTCCTCAGCCTTCTGTCCTTGTCCTTATGTTTTCACAGTATATGGTCTTCTTGGGTGGCTTCAATTCACATCCTTATTGCTGAGCTCCACATCCATATGGTCACTTAATTACTGGTTAGTATTCCTTGGACATTCTACAGACAAAGTAAACATATCCAAAGAACTCAATCTTCACTGCTCACTGGTGCCTTCTCCTTTATTCTCTGTCTTGGTGAGTAGCACCATTGTCCACCTAGATAATGAAAATTGTCCCCAAACCTTCTCCTCTTCTGCTGCACTGTCACCCTATCCTTTTGTTTCTGTTCTCTCTCTCCAATGTACTTCCTCTGTTTAAGCCTTAGTGCCCCTGCCTTCATTCAGGCCCGCATCATATCTCTTATCTGGAGTTTACAACACCTTCCTTTGTTCACTCTGCCTGCCTTCTAACCCTGCTCCAATCTCTGTATCCTTCACATCTCCACCAGGTTAGTATTCCAAAAACATGACTCCCATTCTTTTACTTACTTGATCAAAAAGTTCAATAGCTCCTTATGACCAACAGAATATAGCCCACTTGCCTTTCCAACCTTACCTCAGCCTCTCCCTTACACAAGCTTTCTACTGCAGCCATGTTTGGTATATCCCATCTGCATTTTTGCCTTTGCTCATGCTGTTTCCCATCCCGGAGTGCCTATCCTCTTCCTGACCATGTGTCCTGAATCTTCCTCAACCTTTAAGGTCCACGTTATATTCTGTTTCTTCCCAGAACACTTCAGTCTACAAGGATAACAACCAACATTTTCAGAGCACTTGGCAGTTTACAAAATGCATCTGCCTGAAGGTACAGCACTACCAGCCTCATTTTATGCATGTGAAAACTGAAGCACAGAAGAATTGGGTAACTTGTCAGACACTGCATAGGTGGTCAGCTACAGAGCCTGGGCGTAGCCTTTAGTCTTCTCTCTCCAGATCTCCTGCTTTTACCTCAGTGACCAGTCCCTCTCTGACCTCACAGCATTATGGTCTTCATCCCTCCATCAACCTTAATCACATACTGCATGTGACCAGTAGGAAGAGGGGTCTTGAGAGTAGGAGGTGAGATCAAAGAAGAGATCATCCTCTATTTGACATCAAAACTGGCCAGTAAGTGCACAAGAAATGAGCTGGGTTACCTGGAACCTAACCTTGGGAAGATGATCTGTCAATGCAGGTAAGCTGGGCAGAGCCTTGGGAATGGAAGGGAACCATCAGGGATATTAGAGCTGGGGCCTGCAATGAGGACCACCACTGCAAGGAGTTGGGGTAGGGTTCTAGGTGCTGAGACACTCCTCCTGGATAGTTCGCCAGGTTCCTTGGTTATGGAGGAGCTACATCCTGTCCCTCAGGCCACCCGGCTGAACAGAAGACCTCCCAGAGTGGACCCAGCACTCCCCGTTGGGTTCTGTGCTCACCTAACATTCTTCTTATCAATGGTTTGATCTGGTTGTAGAGGGAGTACCCTGGGTAGTTATCTGGCTCTATCCAGTTTTCTATCCAGCTCCCTCTCCTTCAAAAGGCAACCACATGACTTAAACACACAACTCATGTGGGGTTTGTTCAGTGTGTGTCACTTTTCCTAGGTGGACAGAGGTCTGAGAGAGCAGACAAAGCTGAGTTCTCTGTCTGCAAAGTGGAGTAGCAGCCAGATATTTGGCATTAGGGGACCTGTCCCTCCCAACTAGGCACATGGGACATGACCTTTGGCCATGACTCCTGAGGGGTGTCCTTCTCTGTGACATCTCTTCTGAAGTACAGCATAGCTTTGTGACATCTCAGGCATCTGGGCTTCCTCAGAGTGTGAGGGCCTCAGAAAATACCTCTGAAATGAATGGAAGAGATGATACCAGGCAGCATCCTGGTGAAGCAGGCAAGTGTGCTGATTTTTTGCTGCGCCGGGCCTCTCTCCAGGTGGCCTTGGGAACACATCATCACCCTGAAGAAGGCCCTGGTGATCCCTCTTCCTTTCTCTCTTTGCTGGGTTCCTGAATTCGACATCAGTCCTTCAGATAGCAGCAACATCCTGGATGGATCCAGCTCTGTTTTCTTGCTCTCCATCTTTAGATATGGACATTTGGAAATACTATGTTTGTTTTCTCTTTTAAGTAGAACACTGTTAATCAAGATGGGAAGAAGCAGTGTTTCTGCTTTTTTTCCAAGTGAGAATTAGAGAAAAACTCAGAAATCCCAATTTATTTCAGAAAGACTTGAAAAAGTATACATAATAGATAGTACAACAGTAAAAAAAATTCTGAAAAAAATTTAAGTATAAGCAACTCAAATCATTCCACCCTATGGTGCCGTTTTCTGAGTATTACCTTTCAACCCTTGTATACGTGGAGACATAGCTGTCTGCAAAGTTGATGATCATAGTATACAAATCCTTTTGTATTTTGCTTTTTATTTAATACCATGGCAGTTTTTCGTATCACTAACCAGTCTTCATGATTATTTTTAACAGCTGAAGAGTAATTTATTTTCAGCATATACTATCATTTATTAAGCCACTTTCTTATGTGTTTTGTTTTTTAAAAAAATTCTTACTGTATTCTTTGCTGTTAGAGACAATGATGGAATGAGCATTTGTATATAATATTTTCTTCTCCTGTTGAATAACTTGTCTAGGATAAATTCCCAGGAGTGAGACTGCTGGATTATATGGTATGAACATTTTTGTGATTCATTTTATGTTACTATATATTTTTTCCAAAAGGATTGTGCCAATTTATTCACCAGCAATATGTACAGTTTCCAGTTTCATTTTAACCTCCCTAGCCTTGGGGGTTTTTGTTTGCCTTTATCAGTAGTTTTTGATATATGGCATTTAGGGGAAATCCATAAGATCAGGCGGGGTTTTCTTCAGCACAAAGTAAAAATAATCTAATTGGAAGATTAGGGATTTTTAGGAGTCTTTCTTTCCGGTGTTGGATAGATTGTTCTACATGGCAATTATATTCCTAAAGCTTTGTCGGAAACTAGGGTGGAAAACCGTGCTGCCATTAAACTCAGAGTAACAAAACATGAAAAGAGAAATTCTAGAGTCTTTGAGAACAGTTTATACAATAGCAGAAAAAAGAAGTTACGTATTTGGGTTTTCATTTAATTTCAGAGGATAAAATTAATGGAAAGAACACAGAAACTTGGGTTCATTGCCTAGTTCTGTTGTTGTTGTTGTTGTTGTTTTTAAAGATAGGGTCTTGTATGTGGCCCAGGCTGGTCTCAAACTGCTAGCCTCAAGCAGCCCTCCTACCTCGACCTCCCAAAGCACTGGGATTACAGGCGTGACCATCACACCCAGTCTCCTAGTTCTGTTTTTACTAACTGAATTGTATTGAACAAATAGCATATTCTCTTTGAATCTGTTTTCTTGTCTGTATAATGAAAAAATGATGAGATTAATTCATTCATTTTATAAATATTAATTGAGTGTATACTGTGTTCCTGCACTAGGTGTCAGGCAAGTGAAGGGCAGGTACAATTGTGAATAGGGAAGGGCAAAAGTCCTTCCCTAAGACTATGTCTAAGACATACATTAAACAAGCAAACAAATAATGTATCATATATAACACAGCCTAGCAAAGAGTAGCTACTCTCATTACCTACTCTTTCTCCCTAAAATGAGTGTTATTTTTATGATAATTTGTTCTGTACCCCTCATGCAAACTATCTTTGAAATTCTTATTGCCAGTGTGATGTGGAATGACTTGTTCCGTCATTCCTTGGCAAGCTTAAGGTACTCCAGTCAGTATTTTCCTTTTCTTAAATACAGATGTGGTAAGATGTTAAAAGGAGGTGGTTTGTGACAAGGTAATGTCTTAAAATTTAACTTTTTACCAACATTTTAAAATTTAAATAAAAATAAGAATTTCTGGGGTTTTGGAAAACTAAGATTTGGAGACACTAGACCCACATTCTTTTAAGTAAAGCACTTTATTCATATAGATTGCCCAGTCCCTGTAGGCATTTGAATTTACTATCTTGGTGTAAGTATAGTCTTCCAAACTCTGTCCCCTCCACTCTTCTAGGTCAGGGGAGATAAGAAGGAGAGGGAAGAACTAATTTATGATGAAAGCAGCCACAGAAAGGGGGCAGAAATGGGGTCATTTGACCCTTCCTCTTCTCAAATCAGAAACTCATTGTGTGAATGTGCCTTTAAATTAAACTTTTACTTTCATGGAGTAACTTCAATGGCTTTCTAAGACATAAATGAGATGCTTGCTTCTTTATATTCTTACCCTGTGTAGTACTTGCTCGTGGTGGAAAGCCATGATACCTCCCTGAATTCCCAGAATTGTGATGCAAGGTCTAATGCAGTAGTTCTCAAAGTGTGATCTGTAGACCCTATGGGGTAGGGGGTCCCTGAGATCATTTCAGGGGGTCCACAGGTCAAAACAATTTTAATAATAAAGCTAACGTGTTATTTGATCTTTTCACTGGTTGACATTTGCACTGATGCCAAAGCAATGTTGCATAAAACTGCTGATGTTTTGGGCACCGAACTGGAACAAAACATTATATTCTTTACCACTAGGCATCTGCCGGTGGTGGTAGTAGTAGTAGTAGTAGTAGTAGTAGTAGTAGTAGTAGTAAACATTATATTCTTTACCACTAGGCATCTGCCGGTAGTAGTAGTAGTAGTAGTAGTAGTAGTAGTAGTAGTAGTAGTAGAAGAAGAAGGAGGAGGAAGAGGAAGAGAGTTTACCTGAAGAATGTCCATCAATGATGAAGTGGTAACAATTTTTATTAAATCTCAATCTTAAATTCTGAAGTACTTTTTTAGATTTCTTTTTGATATTCTGTGTGAAGAAAAAGTGTTCCTGCTACATATCAAAGTGAGAAACTGTGCTTGTGCTATTGAGTTGCAAGTTAAACTAGCCTTTTAAAAAATGAAACATCACAGACAGGTGTGGTGGCTGACACCTGTAAACTTTGGGAGGCCGAGGCAGGTGAATCACGAGGTCTGGAGATCGAGACCATCCTGGTCAACATGGTAAAACCCCGTCTCTACTAAAAATACAGAAATTACCTGGGCGTGGTGGTGTATGCTTGTAATCCTAGCTACTTAGGAGGCTGAGGCAGGAGAATCACTTGAACCAGGGAGTCGGAGGTTGCAGTGAACCAAGATCACACCACTGCACTCCAGCCTGATGACAGGGCGAGACTCCATCTAATAAATAAATAAATAAATAAAAATAAATAAAAAATGAAACATCAGTATTACACGAAAGGACAACTGGCAGGCGGGGCACGGTGGCTCATGCCTATAATCCCAGCACTTTGGGAGGCCAAGGCGGGTAGATCACCTGAGGTCGGGAGTTCAAGATCAACCTGACCAACATGGAGAAATCATGTCTCTACTAAAAATACAAAATTAGCAGGGTGTGGCAGTGCATGCTTGTAATCCCAGCTGCTTGGGAGGCTGACGCAGGAGAATCACTTGAACCTGGGAGGCGGAGGTTGCAGTGAGCGAAAATCATGCCATTGCACACTCCAGCCTGGGCAACAAGAGCAAAACTCTTATCTCAAAAAACAACAACAACAACAACAACAACAAAAAACAATAACTGGCAGACAAACTGTGGTTAATCAGACATGGGAATTTGTCAGATATTTTCTCAAAAGTGAAATGACAGTATTTGTTGCCAATGATAAAATTCAAGCGTTCAAGCACAAGTTAGAATTCTGGTACAGTTTTTGCTGCCTCCCTGAGTTTGGCAGCTTCTCAATACTTAAAGAAATTTCTGATGAGATTAGAGGTGATTCTAAAGAATGTGATTTTTTTGTTATTGTGTAATGAAATGTGTCGATATTTGGAACATCTGCTTAAGTCATTGAACTGGTATTTTCCAAATGACCAATGCTTGGTGTTAAAAAATTATGCCTGGGGAAAAGAGTAATTCAAAGAGCAAGATCAGCAGATTTTAATATAACAGAAATAGAAAAGTTCGGTTCAGAGTCTACGTTATAAATAACATTTAAGAAACTACTACCACTTGTTGAATTTTGGTGTGGTATCAAAGAATATCCACAATTACCTGATAAGGCTATTAAAGTACTCCTATCTTTTCCAGCTATATGTCTGTGTGAGACTGGATTTTCCTCATATACTATAAACAAAAGAACATATAACAGATTGACTGCAGAAGCAGGTATGGGAATCCAGCCGTCTTCTATTAAGCCAGATGTTAAAGAGTTTGGCACATACGAGAAACAGTGTGACTCTTCTCATTAAATTAATTTTTATGAAAGAAGTTAATTTTGTTTTAGGCTGGGTGCCGCTTGCTCACGCCTATAATCCCAGCACTTTGGGAGGCCAATGTGGAGGATCACTTGAGGCCAGGAGTTTGAGACCAGCTTGGGCTACATAGCAAGACCTGGTCTCTACAAAAATAAAAATAAAAATAAAAATAAAAATAAAATAGTTGGGTGTGGTGGCACATGCCTGCAGTGCTAGCTGCCTAGGAGGCTGAAGCAAGAAGTTTGCTTGAGCTCAGAAGTTTGAGGCTGCAGTGAACTTCGCACGACTGCCCTCCAGCCTAGGCAACAGAGCAAAACCCTGTCTTAAAAAATAAATATATAAATAAATAAAAGGAAAAAAAAGAAATAGTTATTTTTTCCTATAAAGTATGTTATTCGTGTTAACATATAGCAGGTTTATTATGTTATGAAAATTAGTGTTTTAAAATTTTCTCAGCTTTAACTTCTAATGTGGTAAATAGCAATAGATATAACTCACATAAATAAACTCTCTTTGGAGTCTTCAATAAGTAAACATATGTAAAGGGGTTCCCAAGACCAAAAAGTTTGAGAACTACCGGCCCAACGAAAGAAACTCAGGCATACTTGAACTTCTAATAGAGACTGTCCTTGTCTCTAATCATGCTGCTGCTATGGCTGTTTTCTGCTAAATAATTCCCAGAAGGAATTAGAAGTGCACATCTATCTATGGCTTTATGTAGTGGCATCTTTCTGGACCCCAGGCAACCTAGCCTCTCCCAGCCCCATCACCCTTCCTCCTTCCTGAAGGCTTGTCTCCTAAAGACTTCATACTGGGGTGAAATTTTTCTCAAACTTGCATAATTACCGAGACCCAGATTTGAATTAAATGATTTGTATTTTGTTTCTTAAATAAGTACAAATATAAAACTAGGTACAACTTCCTTTGGCCTTTAGTTTTTATACAACTATAAAACTGAATACAGTTTATAAATTATAAAAAACTATAAAGTCATCAAATTAATAATATTAATTTCACATGTACTTGATGTTTTTCTAAAGTAAACTATCATTAAGACTTAAATGTGGTGCTCACTCTTGTAGCTAAGTTCAGCAAACATATGCCACAATGATGATGGCTCAATTTTCCCACTTCCTTTCTCTGTTCCAAGTACTGTAAAACATGCATCATTTTGTGCCACAATGTCGTTTAGACTTCAAGTGGCAAGAATACATTATTTGTGTATTAAGTCTGCTCCTCTCTCAGCTCATTAACCTGAGACAAGTAAAACTGCCTGGTGTGTACTAGATCCTAGGCTCTTAACACTACCCCCAAAATCATATTGTGTTAGATATGTAAATAATCCAGACTATACTTTTTAAAACTTTATTATCACAATGAAACACTCGTTTTAAAAAATTAGAGGACAGAACTCATGAAAATATGTGTGTGGACCTCAGCTTGAGAACATTTCACTAATTAAGAGTGTGGGCCAAGTGTGGTGGCTCACACTTGTAATTCCAGCACTTTGGGAGGCCAAGGCAGGCAGATCACTTGAGTCTAGGAGTTTGAGACCAGCCTGGGCAACATGGTGAAACTCTGTCTACTAAAAATACAAAAAATTAGCCACGTGTGGTGGCATGCACCTGTCATCCCAGTTACCTGTGAGTCTGAGGTGGGATGAGGTGGGAGGATCACTTGAGCCTGGGGAAGTCAAGGCTGCAGTGAGCTGTGACTGTGCCACTGCACTCTAGCGTGGGCCACAGAGTGAGACCCTGTCTCAAAAAAAAAAAAAAAAAAAAAGGCTGGAGTCCCGAATCAGACTGACTTGGATTTGAATTTGGACTCTGCCATTTGCCATCTGTTTTTGTGCATGACCCAACCTCTCTAAGCCTCTTTCCTCAGCCTGTCCCTCTTGGTTTTATTTAATTTGTAAAAGTGTCTTAACCCCTTTGAAATACAGTATGTAAAGTGCCTGTCATAAACTTGTCAATAATGCAGTTTTCTTCCTTTTTCCAAAATTAAAACTTAGGTCAAGCTTGCCTACCAATAAGGAGAGGCACAGGTCTGGGACACTTTTGAAGGGTTTGTTTGCCTTCAAACAAAAGCAGACACCTCCAGACTTTGTTTTCCACGGCAGAGATGGCTGGACTCTCTTTTTGGTCCCAGGTGAGGAACTGTGGCTGAGGCATGAGCCTCCAGCTCTGGGGAGGAACATGGCCTGGACTTTAGAGGCCTTGTTCTCCGAGGCCCCTCTGGCCTGTACAAGATTTTTTTCTGCCCAAAAGAAATAGATCACTCTGCTTTGTGCTTCACTTACAGGGAGTGGAGCTGGCTCACTCTACACGCTGCTTCTCACCTTAGCATATCAGTGGAAAAGCCCTGGTTCTGGGCATAGGCATGGCTGTGGACATGGGCATGAGCTTTATGGGGCTGCCATTAGTTGGCCAGAAACCCTGCCCTAAGAGTGGACAGATTGAGGCCGTGATAATGACCTGGTCATTGTGCCCTCACTACCTGCCAGGTGTGGGCCCTCGTCTCCTATCCTGCCAGCATTTGCTCTGTAAGGACTGCTTCCAGGGCTTGATACAGGATCTAGGGCAGATTGCCAAGGCTCATGAGACTGTTGCAGATGGTAAGTACAAAGGACCACAAGTTCACCTCCCACTACATAACAGGTCTCTTCCTGTTTCATAGGAACTGAATTTCAGGTGTAGAAAGAATCAGAATTTAAATGCCCAAGGGACACTCATTGCTGAAAGCAATCTTTGGGGGAATCTGTGAGACAGAGCGAATCCTCTTGATGCCTAATATATCTGTTTTGTAAGCTGGAACTTTTCATGTTTGGGATTTCCTTAAATTGGTGGCAGACTAAGAAGCCTGGGAAGGTTTTGATTCAAAGTTTGGCTGCCTTCCCAGATGGAGAGGAGGTGTTCTGACTCACTAAAACTCCAAGGCAGAGAGAGAATGACTGGCCTCCTAGGATTAGTCAGGAACAGATTTTGAATAGAATCACACTGACTAGTGAACTATTCAGTATTTAAGCTGCTGCCCAGCAGGGAGGAGCCTGTGTCTTGCTCCAGAATGTCACGTTTCCTAGGAAACAGTCTCATTGGGAACTGTGCAGTCACTGGAGATGGGAACCGCGTGCCTTCATTTTACTATTCTAGCACAGGACATGTCACAGAGGCACAGTGAGTATCCATTGAATGAAATTATGCAGTGAGAAAGTCAAATAAGTTAGCAACACTTAGAAATATCGTGTTGATCTTTTCTGTTTGTTTTGTTCTCTGCAGTATTTCCCAAGTGATTTGAAACATGAATCTAGGCTCTCTGTGAGGCATTATAGCACTAGTTAAAAATGGGGACTTCCAAAGTGCTGGGATGACAGGCGTGAGCCACCGCACCTGGCCCACACTCTTAATTAGTGAAATGTTCTCAAGCTGGTCCACACACATATTTTCATGAGTTCTGTCCAATAATTTTTTAAAACGAGTGTTTCATTGTGATAATAAAGTTTTAAAAAGTGTAGTCTGGATTATCTACATATTTAAGCCCTCTGAACCCATGTGCAAGCTACCTTGCCTCTCAGAGTCTGCTGAGAGTTTGGAGTACAGGAGAGAGATGATCTATTTTGATTTTTTTACATTAATATATGATTTTTAAACATAAACTTAGTTTTTCCTTAATCTTAATTTTAATTAACAAATGTTATTCTCTTTATAAGTGGCATAAATTTTAACAATGCCATTTAAAGGGCCTTTGATTAATATGTGAACTTATTTACAAATTTTGTTAATATTGGCTTTTATAAAATAAAATGTAATTTATATTCTTTGTAAGTACTCCAGTTATCTAGCAAATAGGCATTCCTAATTACTTAAAGAACTCTTGAAAATCCAGTGAGTTAAATGTATAAATATGGTGAATCACAAATATATCTTAAAAGTTCCAGCATTATAGAAAACCAAATA